GGAGGAGGAGGAGCAGGCGGAGGTTTCGGGACCGGTCTTATTCACCGCCGCGAGGGAGGGGGAGGGGGGGCGGACCGACACAAAGGACCACTCGCGGTGAATGACTGCTCTCCCCTGGGCTCTTCGCCCCCACCGTCGCCGCCGAGACGAAGGGCTGGCCCTCGGCGCCGCGGCGCACGCGCACCTCGCCAGCGCCCGCGAGCGTGCCCTGCGCGCCCAGCGCGACCTGGCCGAAGGCGAGCGCCCGGGCCCAGCTGTGGCCGCGCCGCTCCCGCGGCGCCTCGCGCCTGTGCTCCGCCGCGAGCTCCTGCAGCCGTGCCCTGCTTCGACGGCGCGCAGGACACCCAGACCCCCTCGAGTCATGAAGAAATCCTGACGGAAGGTGTTTTTCTAGAATTTTGGCCTCCAGGGGCCCTCGCCGGGCCTCGGGGCCGTCAGGAAACGACTCAGGATGAAGAGCCGGTCCCAGGGAATGGGTCTGGACCCCTGGGGGTCGAGGTCATGAAAATATCATGGCGTCGGGGGTCTGGTAATTCACAAGGGGCGTGGCGTGGGGGCACATGGGCGCTTGCTCGCCCGAGCTCGGGCCCCAGGACCCTCTCGCATGCCGAGGCGGCCAGACGAACGACGCAGGGAGATAGGGTCTGGGCCAAGGGTCGTGATTTTTCAACATGCTGCATTGTTGTTCGCGTCGTCAGATCTCAGGGGATTGCGCGGGGGGGCGGCTTCCAAGCGGAGGGCCTCTATGAGCAGCCCTGCGCGCCTCCTGAGAAGCCCTGCCCGCCACGCTTCGAAGGCCCTCTCGCCCCCCCCGCGCGCCTACCCCCCAGACATCCAGCGCTCTAATTTCTTCGACGCGTGGACCCCCAGAGGTCTGGACAACTTCGTCGAGACTGGCTTCCATCCTGAGTCGTTTTTTAACCGTTCCAGGGCCCGATGAGGGCCCCAGAAACTGAACATGAAAAAGCCAACAAAAACAGCCTCAACGTATCTCTGGGTTTGGGATATTTGGCCTTCGCTTTTATTAGACATGCTGGGGGGCGTTTTTCGCGCCTCGCTCTCGTCTCGACGAAGGCGGTATATAGATCCCAAGACGGCACCCTGCCATGTGGATGTCAAGCAGGAGGCAGCTTTACACCTAAAGACGCACTGCGCACGGAGAAAGGAACGAGCAGGCAGGCGGGCCACGGGCCGATCCGAGAACCTAGCAGAAAGGGCGCCCCAAACGGAAAGAACACGTCGATCTCGAACACGAGCAGAAAACGCACCCAGCGTTTTCAACGTCATCGAATCGGGTGTTGCTAGAGTTCCCCCTGGCCCAAGGTGCCCCCAGGATGTCCAAGGAGGCCCCCACGGCCTCCAGAGCACCACCAACGAGGCCACGGGAGCCCTGCGCAGGGGCTCTGACGTTGAACGACAAGCTGGGGGGCACCTTGGGCCAGGGGCACCTCTCCCTTGCCGTCGCTCGGACGTCCCTTTCCCGTGCACCAGTCGGTTTCGTGCGTGCCTTTTTTTTGGGCTCGCTGGTCCAGGATGGTCCTCGACGGTTCTCGCCGAGAAAAAACGCACACGTCCGAGCAATGCCAAGCTCCTCCAGCAACCCCCGATGTTTTTGGACGCCCGAAATGGGTACGGAAAAGATGGGCACAATGCCAAACAACAAATGTTGTCCCAAACCAACAGTGGCCGCTGTTGGGCAGGCGGCCTTCTGTCTCAAATGGAGACAGGCCGCGGCGGCGCGGACAGCGAGTCCTGTTCAAGATGAACACGAACTGCTGTTGGGCATTGTACCCATTCTTTCCGTACCCATTTCGGGCGTCCAGAATCTTAGCCTCTGGGCCCTTCTGATGCGCGCCGGCAGCCTGAGCTGCTCCCAGTGCTCGCGGGGCGGCGCGCCCGGCGGCGGCGCCGCGGGGGCGCCGGCCGCGGGGGCCTCGCTCGAGAACGGCGCCCATGCACCGTGCCACGGCTGGACTCCGCTCGGGCCCCGCTCCAGCGCGGTACAGTCGGGGCCTTGACCTAAGGAACCCTAAATAAGGAACGAGGCCCCTATTTTCCATAAGTTCAACTTCGATTTCACGTCGAAAACATAAGGGGAACCTGAGGCAAGCTGTGAAACACTTAAGGAACGCGGAACCCCTCCCCAACGAAAAGGGTTCCTTCTTCAGCGCCCCGGCTGTACGGTGCACCGTTTCTTCTGGTCGTGGGGGCCGACTGTGCACCGTGGCATTCCTGGGTCGAGCCTCGAGGGCGCCTCGAGCCCAGAGCCCCGACGTCATGATCGTGCCATGGAGTGGACCCCGGGAGGTCTGGACCCAGTCCCCGGGACCGGCTTTTCATCCTGAGTCGAGTGTTGACAGCCCCGGAGCCCGGCGAGGGTCCCAAGAGCATGAAAAGCGGCAAACACCTCCCGTCGTAATTTTGCTCAAGACCCAGAGGGAGGGTCTGGATACTCCTGTCGAGAATCGACGACGCCTCGAGCACAACAAGTTTCAAGAACACTCCGTGCAAACCACAAGCGGTTCCGGCAGCATCCTCCCGTGGGCCCGCAGGCAGACCAGGACGCCTCGCCACTGCTTCATCGACCCCGACGACGGCTCCGACGACCACGCCGCTGCAAATGACGACGAGAACGCCGCCACAGGCGACGGCGGTGGCGACGACGAGAGACGCCAACC